TGTGTGTGTGTGTTAGCCGAGAGTTTTTGGCTGACTCGACCTTCTGTGAAGAACTGGACTGGACCACTACGCAGTGGAATACAGCCTTGTTGCTCCAACTTGAAAGGCAAAACGAAGAGATTAGTAGAAAGCAAGACCAAATTGAATCTGGATGAAAGATATATACACTTTGTCTAGTGATGTGTATCACATTGTCTAGTAGTGTGTATCAAAGAACACCCTTTGTAGCATGGAATGTAATTCATCTTGTCTCAGAGAATATATTTACTTTGTATCTAAGTTCAATACACTTTGTATCAAAGGATATAATACATTTTACTTTAAATTTTCTCTTATAGTTTATATCAACGTCCAATATACTTTATATTAGAGAGTGTACTGTACCATTGTCGGAAATCTAGGAAAAGCAAGAGGGATAGAGTATTTCGAGATGACAAATGGACCCAAGAGTTCGCAGTTAATTCTACTTTCTGTCAAGAACTAAACTGGAGCACGGCAAAATGGTCGTCAGCTTTGCTGCGCCAACTTGATGGACATAACAAAAAGATAGAAATGAACCACAAATGAAATTAAAATCAGTGAACTATACTTTATTATTCTGTGTTTATGCGTTTGTTTGTTTGTATGTGTGTGTGTTTAATTATGCGTTTGTGTTTTTGTGTGTCTGTGTGTGTTTGTGTGTATGCTTCTGTATTTGTATTTGTGTGTGTCTGTATTTGCGTGTGTCTCTGTGTTTGTGTGTTTATGCGTCTGTGTCTCTGTGTCTGTGTGTGTGTGTGTGTGCGTGCGTGAGTCTGTGTTTGTGTGCGTGTGTGTGTGTTTATGTGTCTGTGTGTGTTTATGCGTCTGTGCGTGTTTATGCGTTTGTGTTTGTTTATGCGTCTGTGTGTATGTGTGTGTGTGTGTGTGTGTGTGTGTGTGTGTGTGTGTGTGTGTGTGTGTGTGTGTGTGTGTGCGTGAGTCTGTGTTTGTGTGTGTGTGTGTGTGTGTGTTTATGTGGCTGTGTGTGTTTATGCGTTTGTGTTTGTTTATGCGTCTGTGTGTGTGTGTGTGTGTGTGTGTGTGCGTACGTGTGTGTGTGTGTGAGTCTGAGTGTCGCCAACTACATCGCTGCTAATATCGTCTGTGTGGTTGGCAAGGTCGCAAATCAGTATAGGGTCGTGGGCTCATCAGTCCCGGCCTTTGAGCTGGTCTTTATATCTAGTAGTTTTTCTGGTTAAGCAACGTACGCATCACATCACGCTCGACTTACGGCCCTGCTATCGTCGTGCCCTTAGTCTTAGACAACCGAACTATACAAACATGTCAACACAATGGCTTCGATAAGGTCTATGATACTGCATTTCAGCTGCCTGGCTGTAGTGTTGTATGTCGGCATGCTGTGGAGTTGGAAAGACACGGGGTTTCCAGCGAAGCGACGTTATGGTGAGAACAGGTGAGGTGACAGATATTTTTGAACTACCAGACGGAAACATTTCTGTGGGCCCTCCCCACGTTTAGAGACGTATCAGTTAGGATCATCCCTTCGAAGATATGCTTAGAGACTGACAAATGGCATCATGACAGTAGTAATTACTAGTCTCTACCAGACTAACTACTCTGGCTATATACATGTATAGGAGAATAATTGGCAGGGGAGTTTGGCCGCCTTGTAGGTTTGACAGGAGGGAAAGAAACTACCTCCCCGCGGCCAGACTCCCTTGGCCAATTTTACTCTTTTTTTTTGCCGAATTCTACGATCCGTTTTCCCATAGAAAGGTCTTGTGGAGGCTAAGTTATTCCTGGAATGCCAGTATTGAATCCTTTAATTTAAGGTTACCCTGTTCCCAGCAAAGGTTGCTTGTTTTTAACAGGTCACATGAGGGCATGATTACCGGGCGAGGCCCTACATTACGGAGTGACCTGTCACCGTCCGACACAACAAATCAGGCCAGCTGCGATGGTCCGGTCACCAACTTCGTCTTCATTAAGGTAAGTGCTGGGCTAAAGGGTAAAAATGACTGTGATAACTTTAATTAAACTACAAAATACAGAGAACACACAGGCTCTGCCGAGTTAAAAAGGTAACATTTGCAAAGCAAATGCATAGTGTAATATATTCGCATATGGTCTGCTCTGTTAATTCTTACTCAAACACATTCACATATATGGTCAGACAGGAGTTTAAATCCCTCCTTCTATGACATTGCAACATGATATAACCCAACACTAGTTACCATGGTGACAGACGTCTGGTTCAGGTCATTTATAAGGTGAGAGGCCAGTCTTCGGAACGGAATAAGAAGAAGAAACAGAGCAAAAACAATATGTTTTTTTGCTTCAGTAATCATAATG